TGACTTTCACACTTGAGGGGAGGTTCCTCTAATGTTATCATCCTAATTTAGCAAGGTCAGTGTTTGCAGCTTGTCGAAGTAGCTGGAGGCATTTTGAGATAATCCAGTATTGTTGTGGAACAGTCTTGCAGTAAACAACATTGTGCCTCACTTGCGGTTGTGTTATTTAGGATTATGCAATAGGTTTGTGTTGTGTGCACAGCCGAGGATGAGCACAATGAAATATGAGAGAGCATTTCCTTTTTTTTTTTTTTTTTCATTAATGACCTTTAAAGCTCTTTAGTGGTTTCCAGCTCTTACTCTAATATTTGAGCTTTGCACACCCAAACACAAAAACCGGTGTTGATCCCTGTGCACACATGTGCCGTCTACTATGGACATGAACTAAGCCACGCTCACACCTGCCTGCACATGCACGCAGCGTTATATCATTAGCGGTGATGAAGTGCTACGCCGCGGCGTGACCTGCAGCTGGCGAGTTGATCGCGCTGTCAATTAGTTCTCTCTCGGCCTCACTAATTATACTGTCACATCTCGTTCATGCGCCATAGAGACTCAATGGGGAAAAAGCACTAACTCTCTGTGTTTCCTGGGCCAAGAGGTCAATGAGCTGTTTCAGATAGTGAGGTCCGATCAGATGTAGCTGGTGGCCCGAGAGGAGGAGGACGGCACGTAGGAGGAAGGCTGCAGCTCAGGTGTCAGTGCAGGTCCGGCTGCTCAGAGGTGGGTCGATTCAAAACCACAGAAAAACTAAGAGCCACAAATAACAATTTTTGTTTGACCTGAAAGTCCAAAATCCCAACGTGTTCATTTTACAATAATACATATAATTCTTGTCATCGTCGTTGAACAAGCAAAAAAGAAGCAAACAGTTCTGCAGCACAGACTTTATTCCATAAATTACAATCACGCCACGATGTAAGGCCGCGTCAGTAGGTCCCTTACTTTCATTTAAACATCCTAACACCTGTCGGATGTACGTGACTTTACATTGTGTGCAATCATTCATGGTCCCCGGAGGAGGAATCGTACTGACTTCAGTGATCTTTGTGTTGAGCTAAGTGCTGTAGCTCTGTAGCTCACTGTCAGCCTCACAGACCTGCTAACATGGTGCTTTAGGGTTGTCGCTTGATTAACGACTGAAACTTCTTAATGAGTAGAAAAATTGTTGGCGACTAATTTTTTTTTTCCATCAGTCGACATAATTGATTATTTGACTAATTGCTTCAGCCCGTGTAGATACAGCAAAAAGGCAAACGCTTGTAGTGGAGACAAATGGCAGAGTTGTCACCCAGTGATCACACCCTGACTCTGACTCATTAAACTAATTCAACTGTGTTAGATGAAGCACTAATTTTTACTGTCGTTTAGTTTAGCTTATTCTCTTTAAAGATATCCTGTTATATTCTGATGTGTCTCCTCTCTTCTCTTCGTCTGCTCTTTCTGTCATGTCTGCTCTGCTCTGTTTTGATCTCCCTCTGGACTGGTCTGTATTTGAGCTCTAACTCCTGTCGATGTAGCGCGCTTTCTGTGCGAGCTTTTTTTTACCTGCGTCACGTCCCAACCGCTGGTAAATAACACACACTCACCCCTAACGAGGCATTTTCAGGAGTAGAGAGGCAACATTTTGATAAAAGCAAACGCAGGGAAGGAATGTGAGGACCGTTGTGTCCTGCCCTTTAAGGAAACATTGACTCAGCCTGTGTCATCAGTACTGGCTGTCTGAACCCAGACCAGTGATAATAATCCTCATCATCCTGCTCCGGCCAAGATATCCCTGTGATATCAACACACTCCATCCTCCCTGACATGGGTGAACGCCTTTCTCTGCTCCCCTGCTTTGTGTGATTCATTTGTGTTCTTTGTGTAGTAAGTAGTGTGCTGTGTACAGCTTGTGTTTATGTGTGTGTGTGTGTGTGTGTATTGTTTGGTATACACCTGATGAATGAGGAGTCTGCTTTGCTGACAGAGGGTCCCATTAACATGTAGCGCTTGGCTCCCCCTCACAATCCGTCACACACACACACACACACACACACACACAGAAAATGGAGGTAATCAATGGGATGATTTAATAGCATCTGTTCTGTGTCTGCAGGGAGTGAATAGCATTCATCGCTGGGTTTAACTGTGAAGGCTTTGGATTGGAGATATGGGGGATTTCATTCATTTTAAATCATGCAGCAAAACTGACAAGAGACGATATTGCTACCTGGCATTAATCTCTCAGAAAATACAAAATGATATAAATAAATAAATGATAGCTGTTTGTTGAGCAGAGGTCTTAAAAAATAGTTTGATATTATAGGAAATACATAAAAAACAAGTATTAGCTTCCTTACCAAGAAGATGAGACCACTGTCTTGTGTGTCTGCTACACGTGAAGCTAAAAGCAAGTAGCTTAGCTTAAAGACAGGAAGATCCACCCTGTAAAACCACAGCTTGCGCTCATGGGTTAGAAAGACAAGACAGTGCGTTAATTAGCGGGATTTAGACGCTGTTTTTCTCAGACGAAGCTAGACTCGACTGTTTCCCTCTGCTTCCAGTGTTTAAGCTAAGCTAACAACCTGCTGGTTCTAGCTTCATATTTAAAGCACAGACACGAGGGTCGTACGAGCAAGTGAAGTTTCCAAAATGTCAAACCATCCCTCTGTAAACCGCTTCTTCACCTGCTTTATTTTCTTATCTAGAACTTCAGCTTTTATTTTGAAAGGCTCGTGGCCGTAACACGAATCAACCATCAAGGCGTTTTATTAACATGTACTGAACTGTGTGAACTGTGCAGCATCATTATGGCTTGACTGTTAGCACGGGGGCTAATGTTAGCTTTTATTTATTGACCTGCAGTGTAGACTCTCCTGCTGGAAGCTTCAGCCACTTGAGCGATATTCGATAATATTGAATATCGTGATGTTATCTTGTCATATGCAATATTTTTTTTACTTTATTATTTTGATTTATTTTAAACTTAAGATTTTTGTACTTGTAGAAGTTTTGCACAGTCCGACCCTTTAAAATACAGTAATATAATTATATATTATAAAAAACACCCGAACATAGATATAATAATGTAATAAAATGATAGATTATGTGTTATTAAAAAATACAGCAACACAGTTATAGTAACATTAAGGTGCGACATCACATCTTCTGACAGAGGAAATGACACGATGTTCCTGTCGGAAAAGAAAAGCTGAATTCATATGCAGTAAACCAAACCCCCCTGCTCTGTTCAATACACTTCAATACACTGATGTTTGCTCCATTTTAGAAACGTTTTGTCGTGTAAATCTCACTTTAGCTGTTAACACAAGAAAAGGGCAATTAAAAGTTAAACTTTCTTCAACTTACTCCTTTTTTTCTTTGTCACCCTGGATTTTTGCCAGATATAGAACTGTAGGTTTTCCACTTTCGCTTTAATAAACTGTTTAGAGAGTTTCTAAGGTGAGGGAGAGTAACAGAGACAAAAACACACCAAAAAGAACATGCGACCGAAACAACATCCCACCTTTTTATAAGCGCTATAGGAAGCTGACGTGGAGACCTCATTCAAGATTAAGCCATCAGGAAAATCAATATCACTTTTTGTTTTTTTCATATAGAATAAAACAGTCGACAGTTAATTTATTTAGTAGTGAGAGAAGGAAAAGCAATCGACACCCTTCCAGCCGATGCACACGTTGTTAATTGTAGAGGATGTTTCCTCCAGTTAGAGCTGCTCTGAGAGGATTCGGGTTAGGAAACGGTTTGACTGCCGTCTGCTATAGATCCACTCTTAATATGATTCTTCTGCGGCAGGACTTGCAGCTATAATCCTCCTCGATCTGTGTTTCTGTCTGTCTTTCTCAAATTTATCGCATTAATTACACCTAATAACTTCCTCAACAAAAAAAAACTCATATGAAATTGAAAAGAGTCGATCGATCCCGTCCTCATGGAAACTGGCACTGGTTTGAATCAAAGGAGATATCTCCTGTCAATCTTCTGTGGTCACTTTAGTACCTCATCAGTGTGTGTGTGTGTGTGTGTGTGTGTGTGTGTGTGTGTGTGTGTGTGTGTGTGTGTGTGGATGGATTTTTTTCTTTGTGCTCTCTGCATTGTTTTGGTATGTCGTCATGTTTTTGTTGCTCTGTCCAGAGTAAAGACTCTTTCCGAGGCCGGTTTACACTGATGTTTTCTCTCACTGCCTTTTAGAAACAGTTTTATCTCAAAATCCTTTTGGGCTCCCTGAAATATTTTCTGTGACTGGATAACACTTCTGTTGCATCAGGAAAAACAGCCGCATTTTCAGTTCGACAACAAAGTATCTAATTGGATCTGACTTCGGTTTCCATTTTCCCAAACCACAGCACCCTATGGTTTGTCATTCTTCATCATAGAGGCAATAGGCAATAATTGTTGCCATACAACAATATACACTGGTACAGTTACTTAAAGGTCCCATATGTGTGTGTGTGTGTGTGTGTGAAGAGAGGAGGCTCTGAGCCTCTCTTCTGATTGGCTGACTGTTTTCTGAGTGATCCAATAAAAATAAAGCAGATTTCAGGTAAACACGCTCAGAGACACCAAAATCCTGCAAGGTTTGGATGGTGGGTCCAGGTGGGCGGGGCTTGCTGACTGCTTTGTTGTGACATCACAAAGTTCCAGAAGTCCTGACGGCTGGTTTTAAGGCTCAGTTTCTGAATACAGGCTGTGTGCATTTCTCTGTGGACTGAGGCTTTGATACTTTCACAGTATTGATATAGAACCTAGACCTGATCAAATATATATAATCAAACTACACATGGACGTCTCACTTTATATAATGTGGGACCTTTAAAACCAGCAAACCAGACTTTTCCATCCTATTCTTGTTTTATTACAGAACTGTAAAGTGAATTTTAATGGGAAAAAGACACTGAGGCTGATAGCAATACTGTTACAATTTAAAGTTATGCTTCTGGTTCATCAACAAACAATATTTCTAACACTGTTTGCTTTCTCTTGTTTGTCTCTTGCAGTTCAGCAGATGAGAAATTTCGCTGGAACAACCAAGGTAATATTTCCTCCTAAATGCTTTCATACATTTTGTCTGGTCCTCTATTGTGTGCATTGCTGACTGTGCTTATTACATTGGTAGCCACTGTAAACCCCCCCCCCCCCCAATCATGCATTTTCAGTTTATTGATGCAGCCCTTTAGAAGAGCTATGGTGGCTGCTGCAGTTATTCCCTCTCTGCACCAAGACCCGAACAGAAAAGACTTGTTCTAACAAAAAAAAAAGAAAAAAGAAAAACCTCCTGTCTCTCAAATTCCCCAAACAAACGTCAGCCGCTCTGACAGCTGAGCAAAGGTCAAACAGCATTTGCAAATAATTCTCAGCGTTTAGTTCAACCTGATTGTGGAGCCAGATGGGAAGTGTTTTCCATGAAGAATCAATGAGCGTGAGGCCTTTAGACAATTACAAAGTCAAATTAAGACACTTCTCTGGGCTTGACAACTTCTTTGACAGCGTTTTAGCTGAAAACTTCACCGCACACGGCCGACGCTTAGCTCTCTCTCTCGCTCCCTCTTTGTCAGTCAGAAGGTGCAGAGAGTAGATTGATTATCTGGGTGCAGGGTTGGCGACCTCTGCCAACAAAGAGGTGACTAAACGCGAGGAAGCTCAGAGGCTTGTGGTCAAAAACGTTTCACACTCGAGGCTTTCAGTGTTTCCGCTGTGGTCCTCGTCCATCTGCTGCGCTGCAGCTCGACCACTCGCCCTCAGAGAGACTAAATTTACTCTTTGATGAAATAAGAAAAACTTTTGCTCGCCACAATCGGACCATTTGATCTCGTCATCAGTCGGGAATCATTAAAAGTCCGTCACTTCTGGATCAAACGGGTTTAAAAATGAGTTTTTGGCTTTTGTGTGTGAGGGTGAGAGTAAATCCACCGTAATGCAGCAGACACCGCTGGAAATATTTCACCAGCAGCATCAATATCAGCCTGCAATTGCATCAGTCGAAGTCAGTAAAAGCAGCCATCTAAATCCACTCACTAAGGCCTCTACTGCCGTTCCTCTCCATCCCTCCATCAGAGATTAATGTTGCTCAGTTTTAAGGTTTTATCCTCCTCGGCAGACTCTCTTTAACCTGAAGGCACTGGACATGTTATCAGTCCGGCTCTGACAAAAGGCCTGGAAGCTACAGAGCCCTCAGAAAGTATTCAGACCCCTGTGTTGCAGCCTGATGCTAAAATCAATCAATCAATACTTCACAATGACAAATCGAAAAAACAATTTTAGAAGTTTTTGCAAATTTATTAAGAAGGAAAAACTCAGCCGGAGTGACCGTCAGGTTCTTGGGAATCTTCAGAGCAGCAGATCTTGTGAAGCCTCGACACAGTCCTGTCTCTGAGCTCTGCAGGCAGCTCCGCAACATCATGGCGTCTGTGGTTTCATCCACGCTAACATGTTTTCATCACGCCTGGCGTCCACGCTACTCCAGAGTTGTTGAGGCCCTAAAACGGAGACTTCTGGAAACACTGCTGCTGTTGTAGTCTGTGCAGCCAGAGAGGGAGACTCTCCTCTCCCTCCTGATTGGATCCAATCAGTCATGATTACCAGTGGTGAATGCAACATGGATAACAAATTACAACCTTGTTGCTTTTGCTAGCAGCTGATGTTGAGTTAAATTTTGCATTTTAATGCTACAACTGTTTCTGTTTCTGTTTTCTCCTCGTTCGTAGTTTGTTTTTTTTTCTGTGCCTAACCAACTGCAGAGTAAGACCATCTGCTTCCTGTTTACACTCTGCACACACACATGCCCAGTGTACGTGAATGGTCATGTGATAATGTGTTTTCAGGTGTGTTAGTGTGGACGGAGTTTATTTCTGATAAGAAAGCGAAAACTGACGTCTTTAAATCTGCATTTTCAAAATGAAAACACGTCAGTGTGGATGTTGCCTGATCTGTGTTGTCAGCTTTGAGACGGACAGGTGTGTGGCTTTTCCAATTCATGTGCAGTCAGCTGAGTTCACCACAGGTGTAGAAACATCTCAGGATGATCAGGAGAAACGGAGGAAGGGGTCTGAAAACTTTCTGAATGCTCTGCACATACAAGGTGGAGCCACGTAGATCTCCATCCAACAGGATTATGAGTTTGACACGAGGGTTTACCATCACACGTTACTCTGGTGATGTGTGAACGAGGCTGCTCGTTTAGTTGCTAATCGGCAGCTGGAGGATCGTGAATTTTAATTTGACAAGATTATCGTTTATCGTTTTTTGATGGTCCAGATGTGGAAATATTTGCAGATTTGGAGGAAAAAGCAACAGAAATACAGATTTAATGGACAAGACGAGGAGCATGAAAATATAAATCTAAGTTTAACCCTTTGAACGAAATGAAATGATGTGAATGTGCAAAAGGTTTTCAACACTCAGTTAAACATCTGTGTCTGAATAGATGGAGAAGAGCGTCAGCGCTCCAAGGTCCTAACAGCCGTGTTAATGGAACAAATCCTGAACAATGTATTGATCGGGGAAAACAAAAAGTGGAATTTGATGGACTTTGTCACTGCTGTTATTTTTGTATTATCTGTGTTGTGTATGTCTGAGATCCTGTGGTGGGCAGTGAGCACAGTTAGCTTAGCATGTATTCACTTCCGGTGAATCTTCACCGTGGAAAGTCAGAAGAAACCGTCAAAATGTCTCTGAGTTTCCATTTGACTGAAGTGACGACTCTTGAGAAGAAGGTGTGTGATTTTCTTCGATGCAGATTGTGAGAGTCGGGTTTAAACGGCCAAGACCTTTTATTTCAGTTGATAGGACATTTACAAATGACATACTCTTATTTAAATTGGTGTTGCCACTGGAAACCTGTGGCAGGATAACGTGGACGTCTGCCCTGTATGGTCTGGGGTGTGTACTGAACATGATGGGTATTTGAAGGTTAATGGGTACGTTCACAATGGATATGGAGCCGGAGAAATTGGGGGTCATCATCGGGGGCCCGTGACTCCTTCCACGCCGCAGTGTGGACACACGGAGGAAGAGTGTGGAGGAGGCAGGAGAGGCTGTGTCTTCATTTCCTGTTTCTTTCTGTCTGTGCGCTCGCAGATGGACAGAAGGACATAGAGGAGGAGCTGACGACCGGCCTGGAGCTGGTGGACTCCTGCATCCGATCGCTCCAGGAGTCGGGCATCTTGGACTCGCAGGACGCCTCTACGGGAGACAGTAAGAGCAATGTCACGGTTTAGAAACGAGGAAGCTGTTTCTCTCCTGGTACTTTACTGAGACGGCCGGGATGGAAAGCTGAGAGAGGGAATAGGTAAAAGTGCGATCGCGCAGCAGTGGGAGCGGATTTTCCACAGAACCGGAGTCTGGAGCTAATTAACTTGTTGACTGTGTTTGAGTTCGCCAAGAAAATGTGATTCACAAAGGCAGCCTCCAATAAAACCCGAGTCAGTAATGTCTTACTTATCTGGTTCTACTCAAACACCAAACACGATGTTGTCTTTCATTTTATTCCATCTATAGTGTAAATATGGTTTATGCTCATCCTAACTATTTATACCTTAAACATAAATCCAGCTCTTCTCTGCTGCAGAGGCTTTTTCCCAGGTTGAAGCTGGATATAGTCAGAATCTCTACTTGGCAATACAGAGGGGGAAAAAAGTTTATTTATGTTTTAAGAGTCGTTTTATTTCATTTGATCATTACCTTGAATTTAAGCCAGTTAGAGGATGTTCTGTCCGTCCGGCGAATATACTGTCGATCCAGTATTTACGCTCCTTCTGTTCCTCTGAAGGAAATATTTGGTCCTTTAGCAGCTAAATGCTCCACTGTGTTCACCAGCTAGATGCTACTTTTGTCGAACATTTGATGCTAGCCGAGTAGCACCATGTTTTTTTGTTCAGAGGTTTTTCTCTTGAAGGCAGCTGCCTGCTGCACCTTGAAACATGACCCGTGTCTTTTCCATAGTCGACCCCATGGGAGAGAAAGTAGGTGTCAGGAGGCATGCAGAGACGTGCCAGTAGTTTGATATGCTAATCCATCCTTGCTGAGGTGTCAGCTGGCCTGCTGTTCACGGTGCAGAGAGGGGAGGCACAGGCGAACACACACACACACACACACACACACACACTCGCTTGTACTTCTGTCTTTGTGAGGACACTCGCTGACTTAATGCATTCCTTTGGTCCTTATCCCAACCTCAACCATCGCAACTAAATCACAGACCGATGTTCTCCACCAACTCTTGGAAGTA